TTATAAATAATTATATACAAGAAGAATAAAAAGAAAAGAAGAAAATCCATTGCTAATCATTTAAATTCGTTTAGTATTTATCTCCAGAATATCTTTCAATTAGTTACGGCATTAAATGAATAGAAAAATACATTTTCTCAATCACAACAAAGTTTTTCACGGTAAGTCAAGATAAAGTTCAATTGTATGTTTTATTGGATACGCCCAACAACGAAAATGTAGGACATGTATAAAGCAAACAAAACCATTAAACACTATATCTTGATGAAAGTGTATACGAAAACTTTGTTTACATTTTACGTATGTGTGAATTTTTTCATTGTGTAAGAATAAAATTGCAATACAAATAAAGTTTTATGGATTTGAGTCCATAATACAAGATTGACAATAAAGTTCATGATCTTTATTGATAGTAGAGTTTTCAAGTAATGAAAAAGTTTTTTAATTCTTGTAATCGGAAAGTATTTTTCTCTTCAAAGCACAGAATCTTACTAGCTACGGTCAAGAAAGAAGTTTCAGTTTGTATAACGCATTTCCGAAGTTTTCTTTATGTCTCTCGTGCGAGATTCTGCAGTTTCAAGGAACACGACTAGTGTTGTGCTCTAACTTGGGCAACGTTTCGTGAATTTTGAAATATACGTTTTTGCATCCCTAATACCCGCAAAGGGAAACGGAGCTAGTGCCGACGGCTTTCGTCGCTCTGGTGGTTTATTACAACGGTCTCTACCGTTGTAGGTTGAGATTTATCGGCCTTTCCTCCGGCCGGCAGCTGGGGCTACTCCGCAAAATACAACGAAAGGAACGAGCGTGTTACAAAATGAATGCGCCACGGAAGGAAGAGATCGCACATTCGTTTCTTAAAGTTCTTGTCATCTAGAATAGAAAGATCAGACAAGTTAACAGAAACTGACGTATGTTTTCTCATGGCAAAGTTTGAATATAAATAAAGAATGAAATAAAGCAGCAAGCATCTGAAAAGTGAGCCACCGTTAAGTAAATAATAAAAGTTTGTCTCGTTGTCAGTAAAATTATTTTTAACACATCGCTTATTAGTAAATCTCTTATTGCACGCAATCTCTTGTAAAAGATTCAATTACAGTATAATTAGTTGTTTGAAAAGTTATAATAAACAAAATGTTTCTTCATTTTAATATACACATGAATGATGTAGAATAAATAAGTAACCGATTTTATATTCTCTGTACTGTAAAATAAATTTCTGTTTTACAGTAACTAAACAAACAGAACAAATTTTATTCTGCAAATTGGTGTGTCGGGAAAACTGTCACAGATGTTGTTTATAGCGCAAACAGAATTACAAAAGTGAATATTATAATAGAGCTTGCACCAGAAAGATATAAATCTCGCTAAAGAATATATTCCTATGAGCTCGTTTCAGTAACTCTATCGGTAAGGATGAAGTAAGAAGCTAAGCTTCTTGAATGTTTCATAGCTGTTGCAATGCGCTGAAAAAAGCAAAAACGAACATAGTGCAACGTTTGCTTATATGGATACTTTCTTCTATGATAATAAAAAATGGCATGCATCATGTTGCTAAAAAGTAACGAGATTTCTCGTAAATGAATTATTCTGAAAAGTTCTTATGAAATAAGTTGAAACAAGTCACTAATCGCAGATAATAAATATTTCTCATGAATAATTTGTGTAATGTTGAAAAAAAGAAATTAAAGAATTACAGCTTAATTACAGACTCTAATAAAAATTTAACAGATAGTTTCAAGATATATTTGATCTTTGATGAAAATATGATATCGCTGTTACGAGTATATATGGTATGTGCAAGTAACAAGTTAATTAACTACATATACCAATATACATATACTAATTTCCGTAGCAAGTTATATCTACTTTATCTACTTTATAGCAATGTAATTAGAGAAAACACTAGTTTGAAAAGTTCATAACGGAAACTCGTTCACTTGACATTTCATGAGACAAACAGCGATTATCGTCAACGACTTTATCTCGGAATAGGAGCGAAGAAATAACTCTGATTTGTGTATGTATTCGCTGAATTTCGAACCGAATGCAAAATACAATCCGTGGTTTCCGCAACGTTGTATCTTCTAAAGATACTACGAGTTTCTCGTGTCGTGAATACATATATGACTTGCCAGAATACAGCTCTATGTAAACATTTGAGAAACGTTTCGATCATCTTAGCTCTGACGATCGATGTACCGCACAACCAGATTAAATTCGCAGTTTCAAAGTTCCCTTCTAGTCGTGACTCTGCGTGCGAACGATCACCAAGTATAACAAGCTTGGGCATAATATAGGTAACTCAATCGACTCTAACATTGTAAAATTATATTCTACATACTTGGCTACCTGCACATTATGAGGTGGTGGAGTATATATGTAGAATGAGTGCATATAGAAGAAGAGGGAGGCAAGTACTTTGAGAGGAGGGTAAATTATCGGAGGGACAAAATCGTTATAGCGACACTCGATGAGATTGTGAGAAGATCACCTAGCTATTTGTAATTGTAATTAGCAAACCAACTAATTCATTACGTTACCAAGAAATATACGATGCACAGTATGCTATTTAACTGTAGAAGATGCGGAATCCAATAAGAGAAAACATAACAAACACTAATCATTGTAAGCACTGATGTATACGACAAATCATTGCATCTCGTCACAAGATACATTAGAAGCAGAAAAGAGATCTAATAACGAGAAAGTAGAACGTGGAGCTCCGTTGACGCGAAAGAAGAAAAATACGTAGCAAGGAAAAGCGACACAAGAAAATGCAAAAACCTCGTAGCATTTCTTGTAGAGAGAGAGACTTCAGACATATTTTTAGATTAAACACATACACGATGTCCAAAGCTTCCCAGATCTTTTTTCATACATGAACATTTGAACCAACAGCAAATTTTCATTTGCTATATCAGTTTCTTTACATTAATCAAAGAATTTCAAATAAAAGTATATAGGATGTATACATTGTCAAATCTATAGTGTCAAATTTAACTTAACGCGAGTCGCTACTGCTCCTACTCAATCATATCGTTATTTTAGACTAAAACAATGGTTATAGCTGATACTATACAATGTCAATTTGACACTATATAGTGTCAAATTGACACGATATAGTGTTAAATTTAATTATTGTTTTGGTAAAAAATAATGACATATTTAGTAGGAGCAGTGGCGACTCACGTTAAGTTAAATTTGACTATACTAGCCGGATATCCGGTATACATCTCTTATTTTATATGCATAATTTTAGGAAAGATAAAGATATATTTTACAAAGAATTTTATGAAGATGTATTTAAAAAAATTAACTTCTTTCGCTATAATAAGAAATAAGATAAATTATCCTAGATCGGAAAATCTCGAACTAACGAGCTGAATCTCTTTGGAGATTTGAACATAACGAGCTGAGTCAAGCGCATCTCGGTAAATGTCAGAGAATAGAACGAAATAAATTTACGAGATCATGAAACATGCTGGACGGCTCGAGAACGTCAGCCGTTGTCATCTGGGAAAAAATACTGCGACAGGCTGCGACGCGCATCATACGAAAAATACGAGAACGTGTTAGCGAAACTACAGTTAGCGAGTATGCGTTTAACTGCCGTTGTTCTTAATTTCCACGGTTTATCTCTCGGACTACCCTATCCTGTACTGCAGGTACTTTACGTCCTTTGAGATTATAAACATAACGATCCTACATTCCGCGAGGTTCAACAAATCGTTGAAGAATTTTATATACACTCATATCAAAAATTTTTAATCGAAAAAGAAAATAATACAAATATTATATAAATAATATTTAAAACTGACCTACAAAATTCTATTACTACGTATTTCCTTTCTGAACAAAACACTTTAAAATCGCGCAAAGAAAGAAAAAATACGCGCATCCTCGCGCCCTTCCAAGAACCTCTTTTTCACGAAGATAGTCCTCCCGGCAAGTTGTCTCCGCGAGTAATCTCACGAAATTGCACCGCGCGATTTCATGTCGTTCCATCGACATTACCGTGCATTCCCAGCATTCCCTTTTTCCAAGTCCTTCGACTTTCATTTGACTGACGGAATAGGACGAGTTAAAAAGGTGAAAAAGTACATAAGAGAAAGAGTAAAGAACAAAAAAATCTATAGCAAGAGGAAGAAAAAAGAGAGAAAGAGGAGGGAGGGAATAAAAATAAATTTTTTTCATTCACATGGTCAATTACTGTCATAAAAAAATAGATTCATATTATCATCACAATATTATTATTTTCAACAATAATATAAATAATTAATTAAATACAATAATCTACAAAATGTGTAACTCTGAATATATGTATAGTATGTACACTATTATTTTAATTTTTCTCTTTAAGTCGAAGTGTACGTGCCATCAGATGATATGCACTACTTTTATATTCCTAATAATATTCTCAGATAAGTAAATACACGCTCTCTATTTTCTATTTCTTTATCACGCAAAAAATAGACTATGAAATAGGCAGTGGAGATTAAACTTCAACTTAAGTTTATACTCTCACGTAATACGTAGTTATGCCTATCGCCAAGCTCAGTATATATTGTTTAATAACTGCTTATTTGTATGATTAATATTATACTCCAGTTAACTTAGATTTTCCGTAAAAGGTTTACTGTAGAAAATTCTGTATAATTGTATGTGAATTGTTCACATTTGTGAAATGTGTACAGTTACTAATATTAGGTTAGGTTTATACTGTTGTTCCTTATACAGTCAGGTTTATTATTTGCTTTCCTGATGTATTTTTATAGAAATTTTCTTAAAAGCGCGCAATTATTATATTGTGATAACGAACGTGATATAGCAGTATATGTGCTATGCATGTAAATATATCAAAATTTACTATATTACAACATAAAATATATTAGGTAAAAAAAATAATATAAATTTTAGTTTAATATAGTAAATATGGATATATAGATAGGATTCAAACAAGAAATAATCATACATATAAAAAATATACAAACACTTACCCGCGCTTTCGGTGTCTGTTTCAGTCCAATGGCTGGTTGGCTGCGATTACTCTGTAAGAAAAAACGAAAGCTCTTTACAGAAAGACAATAAATTTATAGATAATAACCGATGTTAAACACGATAAATCATATTGTTCATGCCATGTCGATAGATACTTTTAGTCCTAAAAGTGAAGAAATAGACCGCGATAAATTATTGTCGTATAATACGCTATCAAAATACAAACTCATGGCTATTTCCGGATACAAAATAAATCCGCTTCGGATATGCCAAAGCGACCTTTTGCACGGTATCGCCGCGGCTGATACGACAGTACAAACGATAAAACGATAAATTCATGGCGAAACGTCGCGTCGCGATATTCGGTCCAAACGGTATCGTCGTGGACGCCCGTCATTGCTTGAAATTCGTGAATCTTAATTGGCTTGCCGGAACGTGGTCGCTTCTTTCGTGTCGCAACCACATCATGAACGATACCGTGGAATAAGCCAGGCGAAATAACTTCCCGTTAAGAACTCACTTATCATGGTGAAATGACGAAACATCCAAAACAGAATCACGTATCTCGCGGCAATTTAATTAAGCCATCACATTCACCATATATTCCGATATTGATTAAAATGTTTTCGGAGTCGATATGTATTTTTATTTTTACTGATTGCCGTTATATTTGTAAAGTACTGTTTCATCCTTTTCACAGATATTCACAGAGCATTTATTCCTCGATTTTTGTAAGCTTTCTTGTGGTTTTTTGCGCATTTCATTTTTATGCAATAGAAAATAAATATGGTATATGTATATATATATGCAAGTTATAGCATATATATTATATAATTCACATTAAAAATTATTTAAAGCATTAAAAGATCTAGCTTCGACCGGTATAGGCTTCTAGTTTATCGATTGCGTTTTCACATGTATGGTCTAAAAATGAGATTCTTATTATAGAGAATAAAATATATATAACTTTTGTAAAACTATAGCATATATATGCATATCTATTTTCTATTAAGAAGGTATGCTCTAATTAAAGAAAAAAGTCTATGCACAGACTTATAAGTCTAAAATATTGATATTCAAGAATTTAATATTTACTGAAACGTTTTTTTACATTTTTCAAGAAATTCCGAACATAATTCATACTGGATTACGTCGGATTTACATTTAAATATCTTTAGATTGCAATTTCCTACAGTGTTCAGGGCAGAAACGGAGACATTTCACCTCGTCAGTTTTGACACTTCGTTGCCACGTTAATGATAATTAGCGCGCATTTAACGGCATTTCACTTGTCCAAAATCGGTTAACAGATGTACAGAGAAACAAACGAGCATTATACGAGATGTGATAATTAAGCGGTTTATCTCGATTAATTCCAGATAATTACGCGCGCGCGCTTGGCAATTAGTCCAATTGCTACGACTACCCAATGTAGCATGGCGGGGCCTTACTCTTTGGACCTGCAATTGCAGTCGACGAAACCGCGACAATTGCAACACCCTTATAGCTACGACGCTCACGGATTTTGCTGGTCGCTCTGAATCTCGAAAATTGCCTCGTAAACTGAGGACGCCGACGGAACCGGACTTGAGCACTTCTCTGGTTACATTTCCACTTGGAACCGCTGCCCAATTTAAACTGTCATTTACATTTTATCACGTAATAAGCGACCGACGAGCACAAATTACACAGCCAAATATTCGCCTAGCTTCATCTTGCATTAAACGCAAGGATAATTTAAATCTTCCTAGTCCACGCTCGTGTAGCTGTTCCATCGTAAAAATTACGTAATCAAACTCTTAATTTTCAAAGTGAAAAATATGTATACAATGAAATTTTCAAGTGAAAAGAATTAAGCTTGGCAAGCTTCGATGTAATCCTCCAATTGATGATGGTAAAGCAGTGTCGTTGACTATACATTATAACATTCGTAATTGTTCCGAGTTTTCCATTGCGCTTATTTCATACGCAGCGAATATAAAATTTTAAAATAGCTCGACTTCTAGCTACATCAAATAATTGAATCATCCAATTTTCTTAACCTATTTTTTAATTTACTCTCGTTCTCTGATGTTCCCTGCTATTTGCTTTCTTTTTCCTATTTACTTGACTGGCGAGATCACAGACTTCTATATGGGGTGCTTGATATTATTAAGTGTAACACCGTTCATGGGTAGGTAGAATGAACTAAACTGAATCAAAAAGGTCTATTTTGCAGTTTTTGCGATTTTTGCAATATTTAAGAAGATATTAATTTCTAAAAATCGCTGAATAGTACGTCCTATAGTCAAATACAAACGCGCGGCGAGATAAGATCGTCATACGTTATTAGGTGTGCGGAAAAATATTTATAACAATCGGCAACGCATAAGCAGCGAAAGAAAATGTTTCCCCGCGCTGGGCAATCGTATCATGCCACGCGCTTGTATTTGGCGATAGAATTATAATGTGGTAAGAAGTGCATGAAAATGGTTAAGTAATGGTTTGACTATTTGACCATCCTCGCTTTATACAGGTAGATGTCGAATCTCTGTTACGAGTACACGCGCCATCTATTAATTGTTCCACAAAACGCTCTCTCGCTCTAAGTCAAAGTGAAGTACCGTCAATAATTTATTGAGTTCCTACTATATTTAAGTCCTGTTATACATATACTTTTACGTTATATTCATGTTCATTTACCACCAATAATGATTTAATCAACTTTGTAAATATGTTTATGACAGTACCGCCCCATCATTGAATTACGTAAATAATTAGTTCAATGTACTTTTCTCTATGATTGAGTTGATCTCCATGTAGATGCAGATTTATTATTATTACATAGTTAAATCACCCTTGTAGTAGTTGAATGAATATCTAACATTAATACACTTAACCATATTTCAGATTGGTTAATCATATACTTTGACTAAATTTTTGAGTACATTTTACTACGTGAAGTTATTCGTCTAATTAGTGAAGTTGTTCAACTAATTAGGTTTTCGTTCTTCTTGACTTGATTATAACTTCACTTAACTCAAATCGCGCAGCCCTCAAATTTAGTTGTGTCCACTTTGAGTATTTTTCACAGTGTAGCTATATCCTGAGCACCATGGCCGCATGAATGCGTTTAGAGAGACGCTGTTAACACTATTTGTGTCATTCTTTCCTTGTTTCATATCTAATGAATGATGAAGATAGAATGACACAAAAAGCGCTATTAACATCTTCCCGAACGCATTCCATATGGTATCACATGGCCAAATGTAATTTAGATACTGTTCATGGCTATATATCTAGTGGGACACATAGTGCTGTGCTGTTTCCAAGATTATTTGAAGACCTATTGAAATTTACTAGCATTCTTCCACGTGTGAATGGAGTTTAGAAAATATTGTCATCTTAAGAATTTTAGATAGAGTCTTTAGTCGTGGTTTCTTGCTTGGAGATCTTAATACTGTTAAATAGCGAGTTCACGTCGGCAAAACAGCTATGATCTGCTCGCCAAGCAATTAAACATGTTTGGTTGACTCCAGAGGTAAAAGAACCAATCATGCTCATTCGCTCAACATGCCTAGCCGCTTTGCTGACTTAAACTCGCCCATTGGTTAAATATATTAAGTTAGCCTATCAAAATGCGTATATGTACGCATGTGTAGATGTGCGTCACGCGATGACACGGATTACGCATGTGCACGTCAAAATTGGAGTCACTTTTTCAAAAAAGTTAGCAATCTAATAGTATAAAACAGAAATCTGTAATCGAGATGCGACTAATGAAAACACTACAAAACCATCGTAGAAGAAACAAAAAAAAGATAAAATCACGAAGAAATAAAAAGGAGACACACAATAAGATAGGAACTTTGACGAAGCCAAATACTATCTTGCAACTCGAGTTCCGTTGACTGAACTTTTTCTGCTCACTTACCAGTCTCCGCCTCGTACGAGAAGTTTCGACGGGCGTTTACCGGTGAATTTATCAGCATTGCGGTCTATTAACTCGTAATGGCATTAAGTCGACCTGCCGATACCTGATATGCCGTATAATTATTTCTATTTGAACACGTTACGTGACAACTTCGCGCGGAATGCCTTTTTACCGATGAATTTAACAGCGAACTTAATCCGAATATACTACATTTCATAGAAAAAAAGTGTACAGGTTAGATGCATTTAATGACTTTGGAGAGCAAGTAAATTAAACAAATAATGATAATATTTAAAACACAAAGAATATGTAATTATAAAGTATTAATGAAATAGAGAGATGTACATATAAAGTGGTTAAAAAAATATATTGTTACTGTATTTTAACATATATTTTTAAAAATTGTGTTCTTGAAAGAGAGAGAGAGAGAGAGAGAGAGACAACAATCACTGTATCATTTATCTAATAGATAAGATAATAGAACAGATGTATTAATTCAATTCTGTTACAAGCATGATTAATATCTTTATACGTATATCCGTCACATTCTCTCTGTTCATCAACAATAAATTTATTTAACAAAGTCTTATCAGCGTACATTTCTTCGACATTAGCCGCAAGCGAAATCCATTATCGATTGGTTGACAGACAAGAATTGGTTAGACTATATCGTTACTAGGATTAATTCAGCCTTGAGCCAGAGCCAGGAGCATTCGAATTGAAAACAAATCAATCAGAATGAAATGTGGCACGAGAGCTCTGGGTATCGCTCGGGAAAATCCATCGGCGAGTCACGTACAAAGGAAACGGGAATTCCATTTCGCGGAGGAAGCCTCTGACGTCTCCGATGTGCCATTCGGATAATTATTCAGTTACAGCGAGCGCTTTAGGCGACTACAGAAAGCAGATGATATTTGATTCTAGACAAGAGAAACGCGTTCACGTACACTCATATGCTGTTTAATATCAATTCGTCGAGCTTAATGTGATTCGCTCTATCACATATTCTACACATTTTGTTTTCTCTAGTAAAATATTTTAATAATTCATAGCTTTTTCATAAAAAACGTAATTTAATATGAAACGATAATACAATTAAATTTTGTATTTTAATATATGTTTATCAGGGACAGAATT